TTTTTAATTATGTAAAGCACCTTGAAATGCCTTGCTGCTGAAATGTGCTATACAAATAAAATTTGATTGATTGATTGAAGAAAACGGATATATGATCTGATCCAAAATAGTAAACTCATTGCTTTCATCAGGTGTTTTCCCCCAGGCTTTAAAAACAACAGTTATCAAACCATTGATTAAAAAGAACAATTTGGAAAAATCACTCCAGCAGAATTACAGGCCGACCTCTGACCTCCAATTCATCAGCAAAATTATTGAAAAAGCTGTGTTTAAACAATTAACCAACCATTTTGATGTCTTCCCATGGTTTCCATGGTTACTACAGTACAGAGACTGCCTTCGTCAAAGTGTTCAATGACATAAAACGCAGACTGTGGAAGAACCACAGTGCTGGTTCTGTTGGACCTCAGTGTTGACTATGACATATTACTGAAATGACTGGAGAGTTGGGTAGGACTCTCTGGTCCAGGACCCATCTGGTTCGAATCTTACATAAAGAACAGAGATTTCTTTGTTTCACGAGGAAACTTCTTGTCAAACTGGACAGAAGTCGCATATGGGGTACCCCAAGGTTCAATCCTAGGACTCCTTTTATTTAACGTCTTGGTGCTCCGGCCTCGTGTGTTTCTGTCCTCTTGTTGACAGCAGATGAAGGCAAATGGCTGCTCTGAGTTGAACTGGCTTGAAATTCAGGTGAAATTCAAGAGAATAACAGAACAAAACAAAAACATTTCTTCCCAGTTCTTTTTCTTTAAAGACAAACATGTTATGATCACTGGCATCCTTACCTCCCTCATCTAATTTCACCTCTGCTTTGAGCAAACATGTCTTCACCTGCACCTGTTCTAACTGCGTTGCTGAACCTGTTTGACCAAATTGTGTTGAGATCCATGAACTTCATTTGCTTTGAGAACTCTGTTAACTGTGTGAAGAGACACACCCTGAAGTGCCTCGGCTGATCAAGGAGAATTAAAGGAATATTGTAACGATTTTGTGTTTTTGTTCTGCTGGTGTCCATATGGTTATGTGTATTTGTTGTATGCTACATTGTGATCTTTGTTGTTACGTGTATAAAGTTATGGGCTTCCCCTGTCTGACTCTGCTGACTCCCACTCACATGTGACTGACCTGTCATGTGGGCGGGGGATCAGAGGAGCGGCAGGACAGGACTGGAAGCAGATGGAGTTCGGGGAGCGTAATGGTTAGTTGGAGGTTTGGCGGGACTACATCTGTGGTGTGTTGGCGTCGTTACAATATATTTCTTGTTTCTTGTTTTTAATTTTCACTACATAAAAAAAGCTGATTTTCAAGTTCCATCTGACAACATGAATTCTGCTTTTGACAGATTTTACACAAAGATGACTCAGACAAACATCAGCTATGTTACCAGCAAAGTCCCGGGCGTTGAACCGTGTTCCAGGGATGATGATAACAAACTGGGAGCATATCTGTCTTACATTTACTACTTCATGTTTGTCTTCAGTGTTTTCACCAACCTGCTGGTTCTGGTTATCATCCACCGGTGAGTAAACTGAGTCGTTAGAGCAGAGGAATTTAAATATGAAATAATCTGATTGTTATTAATTGTAGAAACCTATAAGGAATTCACATTCACATGTAAAATCCAGAGTAATTTTTTTATGTCGTGGTTAAAAAATACCTATAATTTTTTTTTTCTCTCTGTGTGACCTTAAATCAGTTTTATGTCAGTTAGGGTTACCAAATGTATGTCTAGCTGCTAAGTGATGGATTAAATTTACAGATTATCCAGCATTTTGGAAAATCTGTAAAGTGAAAACTTTTATTTTCTTTTGGAATTCCTAATAATAAATAATAACAATCCAGTTTTGGAGTAGGAGTAGATGTTAACTTCTCTGGACAATACATGCTTTTCACTACGGTTGCTGCTTTCTCTTATGTCCTGTTCTGTGTGTTGCTCAGGCACAAAAAACTGTTAAAAATGTACAGATGAGTTGGTAATGACCGATAGGCTGGGATCCAGGACTATGCATCACAGATACTGTCACCAAGCCAGCCTGAGTTACTAGCTAAGTCCTGCTGGAGTATTGATACAGAGAACTATCCTGAGTAGATCTGCACTTGCTAAGGGACCTGAGCTATCAGCAGCATTTTCAGCTGAAACGTTTCTAATAGCTTGGCTTGTAACACTACAAAAATACGTCATTCCTTATGATAAAAGCCAAATTTGATGATTCCTGCAAACACCATTCTCCACAAATATGCTCTCCCAACCACAACTTGGCCTGATGATGCCTTCGATCGACTGCAGACTGCTTTGATAAAACTAACTGTAATATTTTGAAGCTGGTAGCCTAGGAATCATTTACTGTGTAATGTGGTATATCAAAACATGCACCTGTTTTGTCACTATGGAGAAACACACCTTGATGTTAAAGGTATTAAAGGTTTAACATGTAATTATG